CCGGTTTGCCGACCGGTGCCATGAGGAGCATGCTGCTGCCCTGGCACAGTGACTCCCTCGGTTCCCTTGAGTAGGGCCCAGGCATCTTTTGCCCGGCCTTGGCTCCCGACCCACCCCCTCCCCCCGCAGGTAAGAGCAGCGTCAGCGTCAGCAAGCAACGGTCAGCGGCAGCCCCACCACCCCCACCTCCGCCTCACACACTCACTGGCCCCTTGCGCGATGGCACGCCGGCATGTTGGCATGGGAACGCCAAGCCCGGCACGGTAGCGGCGGCTGACTGAGTAATGGCACAGCCGACCGCCGCGGCAGGCCACTTTGCACTCCTGCCTGCAATGCATGCACCCTTACATGTGCAGCCTTCTGGTATTTTCATGTGCCTGGGAGATGTGCGGGCATGGGGGCCCATGTGCCCCATGCCATTTGAGTGCCCGGCGGCGGCGCTGCCTGCCGCCGGGAGCCCGCACCAGCATCGGCACCCGTCGGCCTGGCAGGCCTAAGCTGCTAAGGATCCCCACGTCCCCCACCACGTTGTGGGGGTTGCGTGTCCGGCAGGACGGGGAGCGGGGCCAGGGTGGGGTGACCCTGGGACGCTCAGCTGGGGGGAGGGTGGTCGGAGCCATGGAGAGGGTGCTCCATGGTCCACCCCCTCTCTTGATGCCCCTTGATCACGTGTGCCCCCTGCCCAAGGTCTGCTCACGCGGCCTATCATAGCGGGGTGACTGTAACACAGGGCATTGAATGTCAAACAGTGAAGATGCAGAGTGGGCGCTGTGACTTGGCGCTCCGTGGCGCATGGCAGCTTTCTTGCAGCCTAGGACAGCATCTGCAGGCTTTCCCGTTCTCTCTGGCGCCCGCCAGCAGCAGTGATGCACCGTAGGCACTTTCTGGCGGCTCAGGTGAGGTGCTGCCAGAAGGCTGGCTTGGGTGCTCGCCTAGGTTGGCTAGCCTGTGTCGGTTAGCTTGGGAGGGTGGGCCCCGTGACAGGGCCGCAGCCCAGGGGCGCATTGCCTGGGTGGGTTGCGAGCGCAGCTGCAGCCCTCTTGCCCGACGCCCGCCCGCATGCCCGCCCGCGCTGCCTGGTGCACAGGCCTGGTACGCCATCAGCCAGGGCGCCCCCGCCTTCCTCAACCCCTTCCTCAACCTCTTCTTCCACCGCATCGGCCTCTCGCCCAGCCAGATCGGCCTGCTGTCAGCGCTGCGGCCCTGGATATCCGCCCCATGCGGTGAGCGGGCTGGGCACCTGCCACGCGGTGCGGCTTCGCACCAGCGCTGGCCACCGGCGCTGGCGTCTCACCTGGCCGTGCATGATGCGTGAGGTGGCGCCGGCGCCGGCGCTGGCGCTTGCCTGCATGGCACTGCCGCTGCTGCCCCACCCAGCCACCCACCCAGCCGCCCACCTTGACCTGCAGGCTCCATCATCGCGGGGCTGGCCGACCGCTGGGGCTCCCACCGCCCGCTGCTGCTTGCCTGCTACCTGGGCATGACCTGGATCCAGGGCCTCATGGCGCTGCCCTCGCTGGCCAGCTTTGGCGCCATGCTGGCGCTGACGGTGCTTTCGTCGGTCGTCTATACACCCGCCTCCATCCTGGCCGATGCCGCCGTCATGGCCGCAAGCACGCACGTGAGCGCCAGCTCAGCACGCACCACTGGGCCCCGGCGTGCTGTGCACGCTGTGCTGTAATGCAGACACACCCGGAGCTGTCTGCTGCTTGTAGCCTTCAGCCCTGGGCAGGTGCCGAGTCCCTTGCCGCCTGCTCCACGACGCATCCAGGCCGCCTCTTCCCGCATGCGCCTGCAGCCAGGCGACTATGGGCGGCTGCGCACATGGGCGAGCGTCAGCTGGACGGCGTTTGCGCCGCTGGCTGGCTGGGTGAACAGCAGCTTCGGCATCAGGTGGGCTGTCCCGCGCCTTGTGTCCCTCACTTCCGAGTGCAGCGTCCGATTGTCTGCCCCTGCCCCCGCGCTGGCCTGCAGGGTGGGCATTGTGTGCTTCTGTGTAGGCTCCATGCTGGCGGTGCCGGCGGCCTGGATGCTGCCTGTGGAGGCGCTGCGGCGCAGGGTGGGTGGCTCGGCATGCGACACCCGGACCTTGAGCACCCCGCAGCCGCCTCTTCCCAGCTGTCGGCCGCTGCCTGGCTGGGTTTGGGCCCTATGCCATGCTGGAGATGTTGCCGCACTGCGCGACAGAGTGCCTGCCTGCCTGCCCGCCCGCCTGGCCCTCCAGGTGGCCCCTATCATCCAGCGAAGGCCATCCTGCGAGCCAGAGGCGGCCCCTCCCACACCCGGGCTGGAGCAGCCGCTGCTGGCAGAGGAGGCGCCGCCGCCCACCCCCGCCGCCGAGCGCCCGCTCACCCGGGCCCTGGCCATTGTCAGGCGGGTGGCGGCCAGCCGGCAGGCAGGCTCCTTGTTGCCATTGCCTCCCAGGCAGGCCGCAGCTTCACCCGACAGTGCATCACTTTTGTGCCGCGGCTGCAGGTTCATCGAAACCATCACGGAGCTGGGTGTCGTTCCGCCAGGCGGCGCCGGCCTCTACGGCTACGCGACGCTGCCGCTGCACTACGCCGCGCAGCACCTGGCGCCCGTGGAAGGTGAGCAGGCACCCCACCGCCACCCCGGCCCGGCCCCAACTCATGGGCCAATGTGAACCAAGGTTGCTGGCAGCACCGGCAGCTGCGCTCCCCTGCGCCCACATGCGGCTGTGCACGTGTGGCCACCTGCCGCAGAGTCGCCCCGCGAGGCCGCAGCCTTCGCCGGCTACAGCCCTTTTGCGGGCGGGGCGGAGCCCGGCTCTGAGTCCCCTCCCTCCGGCACCTCCCCGTCCACGGCGCCCCCAGTGGGCAACGGCTTCGCCCCGACGGCAGATGCAAGCGGCGAGGGGGCTGCCCCCGGCGGCGGCCCCGCTGCCTGCCCGGGCAGCCCCCTGGCGCCGCCCTCCCCGGCCGCTCCGCGGCCCGGCCTGCGCCCCACACACGGCTCACTTCAGGATTTGGGGCGGCGCCCCGCCACCCTGCCGCGCCCCATCAGCGCCGACAGCCTGGGCCGGGTGGCCAGCCTGAGGGCGGGGATCCCTCGCGTGAGGACGAGACCCCTGGTAGGCTGGCCTGGCTGGCAGTGCCGCCACCATCCTCATGCTGTTGCTGCAGAATGGCGGGCGATGAGCATGGGGCGTGCCCTGGTGCCCTGCCTCCCTGCTGCCCTGCTTCCCTGCAGCTTCTGGTGCCCCAGGAGGAGGTCACATCTGAGTCTGAGGAGGAGGGGGGCGAGGAGGAGGAGGAGACCATCAGCCCAGACTCGGGCAAGACGCCACCTGCTGCCTGCTGGTCCAGCCAGCCCAGCAGCACCGACCTGCTGGCCTGCCATGCCTTGCATCGCTCCCCGCCTGTGATCGAGCAGTGCTCCCCAGCGGCAGCACAGCTGACGCGTTGTGCCTGGCGGCGGCTGTTGTGTGTGTGTGTGCAGATGTGGTGCTAACTCCCCACGGCGCCCCCACCCAGGAGCGGCCGCACCGGGCTCAGCCAGAGCAGGAGGAGGGCACCGTGTTTGATGCCGACGACTTGCCTGCCACTGGCCAGGGTGCCTCCCGCCGGCTCCAGGGCGCGCCCTCTGCCTCCCGGATGCTGGGTGACGTGAGGGGCATAGGCACCCCCCCGCCACCCGCAGCTGGGGCGGGGCCGCAGCCTGTGGCCGGGCAGGCCGGCTCTGGCGAGCTGCCTGTCAGCTATGGCAGCCCGCAGCAGGCCGACCAGGCGGTGGGCGCCCAGGCGCCAGCGCCTGCGCCCCTGCAAGGTGTGGAGGCCGCCGAGGCCGCCACCCCCGCCTTCCGCTCCGCAGCAGTGCACCGCCTGGCTCAGCTGTTTGGCGGCACATCCAGGGGCCGCGCGGGCAGGGGCGGGGCGGCTGCGGATCCCGCCAGGGCTGGCAGCAGCGGCAGCGGGGGCGATGCGGAGGCTGGCTCGCCCGCACAGACACCCAGCGCTGCGGGCGAGGAGGCTGTGGGCTTCTCGCCTGTGCGGCGATACCTTGATTACAGGTGGGCAGGATACCTTGATTACAGGTTGGGAGGTCTGGGCGCCTGATCTGCAGTAGTAGAGAGCGGGCGAAGCGCCGCAGTCCACAGCGGCCTGCGACCCCAGAACATGTGGCATGCGTGCAGGCAGGGCAAGCTGGAGCGCAAGCGCCTGCAGCGCCAGCAGCGCGTGGCGGCGGCAGAGGCGGAGGGGCGGGAGCCGGAGCCGCCCACGCCGCTGCCCTCCTCCGCCGCGGCACTGGCAGGCGCGCGGCAGCTGTGCGGGGTTGCATGGCTGGCCTGCCCTGTGCCGGCACATGCCGGATGCCTGGAGGTCTACTCACCTACCCCCCTGAGCTGCTGCTTCCCCGCCTGCAGGCGCCCTTTTCGGCTCCATCACTCCCTCCCTGGTGGCCGCCAGCCAGCTGCAGGGCCCGCAGGTGCAGCAGGTGGGGCCCGAGGCGATGCGGGAGGCTCTGGAGCTGGAGCTGGCTGAGGTGGCGCAGGAGCAGGGTGGGTGCCTGGGGGGCCCGCATGCTGCCTGGCCGGCTTGCCTGGAGTGATGCAGCCAAGGTGGTGGCCGGCAGGAGAGGCCTTGGGTCGTGCTTGGAGTGACACAGCCTAGCTTGATGCTGCCTCCATACTTTGTCCCCCAGCTGCGATGGGATGGGTGTGTGTGTGCGTGTGCTGGGGCTGTGCCGCAGACCCCACCGGCTCCATGATTGTGGGCATGCTGAGCAAGAAGCTGGAGAGCATGGCGGCGGACAGCCAGCGCAAGCAGCGGCTGCGCCGCCGCGCCGCCGCGCGCGCCCAGGCGGCCGCGCCGGCGGCGCCAGGGGCCGCGGAGGGCGCAGCCGCGCCGCCGCCGCTGGCGTCGGTGCCCGAGCAGGGCGAGGCGGCAGCGGGCGGCGTCAAAGAGGCGCCGCTGGGTTTCGGCGCGGCGCTCAAGCGCCTGCTCGGCGACCCGCAGGTGGGGCCAGCCACTGCTCTGCTGGCGGGCAGCCGGCCAGCACCTGGGGCTGCGGCGGGCGCCGGGCAGCTGCCGCAGCCCGAGCCCTGCGCCCCCAGCACACCTTGCCCCTGCTGCGCCCGCTGCACCCCTCCTGCTGCCCTCCTCCCCCCAGGTCGCCACCTTCTTCTGGCTTTGCACGGTGCTGGGGTTTGGCCACGGCATGGTCGGCGGCTTCCTGTTCATGTACCTGGCCCAGCTGGGTGAGGCAGCAGGGCAGCAGGGTTCCCCACCCTTCAGGCCGCCTCGGGCTGGCCTGCTCCCCTTCGGGGCCGCCGCAGCTTGTTCGGCCATCTCACGCGCCACCCGCCGCCCGCCTTGTGATCCGGCCGCTGCGTTGCGTTGCCCGGGGCTGCAGGCGGCAGCGAGATGCTGATGGGATGCATCCTGGTGGCGAATGCGCTGCCAGAGCTCCCCGCCTTCTTCTTCTTCGGCAGCATCCTGGCGGCCCTGGGCATGAACACCGTGCTGCTGGCGGCCTGCGCCACCCTGGGGCTGCGCGTGTGGGCCTACTCGGTGGGGACCTGCTGGTACCACTATGTGGTACCGCTGGTACTGCTGATCATGGCATGTACTGCTGGTACTGATGGTCGCGGAAGCGCACGCGGCGAGGGGCCCGTCGGCGTGCCTGGCTCCCGGCGGAGCTGCCTCACTGATGCACCACCCCTGGGTCCCGCCCCCCCGCAGCTGCTGCCCAGCATCAACCTTAACTGGATCGTGGCCATCGAGACCCTGCACGCCGTCACCTATGCCTGCGGCTGGTCGGGTGAGGAGGCCGTGCTGCAGCTGGTGTTGTGCCGAGTCTGCCGTTGTTAGGATTGATTAGATGCCCCAGCCAGCCGGCCCTGCCATCCCTCGTGCCTGCCCCGCAGCCTCCGCGGTGAACAGCTCCAAGATTGCACCCCCCGGGCTGGAGAGCACCACCCAGGGGCTGTTCCAGGGGCTGTGGACCGGCGTGGGGTGCGGCGTGGCGGGCCTGGTGGGCGGCCTGCTGTACGACTCGCACGGGCCCGAGCTGCTCTTCAGGCTGTCGGGTGAGAGGGCTTGCCGGGCAGCTGCCAGCCTGGATCCGAAGCCCTTGCTGGCCACACAACACACCTGGATGGGGGTTTAACGATCTCCCGTGAAATGCTCCTATCTGTGCCCTGCGCTCCGCCCGCAGGCCTGGCCATCCTGGGGGGCACCGCCGCCGCCGCCGTGCCCACAGTGGTGCTGCGCTACCGCCGCAAGCACCGCCGGGAGCTGCCGCCCAGCGGGGAGTCGGCGGAGAAGCTGCTGCTGCTGGCGCACTAATGAACCGTCAGCTGCCGCCTTTGCCTTTTTTGCAAATGGTTTCAGACACGCTTGACCCTGTGCTGCGTTTGCTTTTTTCCCTGCCTTGATTCCGAGCACTGCTGTTGCGATGCGAGCCTGTTTTTGTGAGCTGCTAGCTGAGCGGGTCTGGCTGGAAAATTGCATGAGATCAGACAACCAAAACAATATGAAACTGAAGGGCGGCAATATTTGTGGTGGTGCATGCCTGGGCCTCAGGCCTGGATGTTTCCCAGCAGGCCCACCATGCAGCGGCAGCTCTGCAGCAGGCCGTCCAGGCGGCGCCAGGTGGCGGCCAGCCGCTGCTGCGTGCGCTGCGCCGCCTCCCGCAGCTCCTCGTGCTGCATCACCGTGTCGCCGTGCACCTGCAGCGCCACCCGCAGGAGCGCCTGCGACAGGGATAGGGGTAGCGGGACGTGCAGGCGCCGGCGGTGTTGGCGCGGAGGGCAGGCCAGCCGTGCGCAGGCACCAGGCACCTCTGCATCTGCCCGCGACCTGGCCGGGCCCGCCGCTCGACGGCCCGAGCGCGGCAGCAGCCCGAAACAACAGCGCATGCATCGCTGCCCTGCCCCGCCCCGCCCACACTCTTAGCTCGCCTGCACAAACTCAAAGTTGCGGTTGGCTGCCACCTCGTCCTCCAGGAAGCGCAGCAGCAGCGCCAGGTCATCCACCTCCTCCTGGGGCGCCCCCTCCAGCACCTGCATGCCCCGGATCTCGGCATCCAGCGCCACGGGAGGCAGCCCCCGCAGGTGGGCCACGAGCGACGTCCAGTCGCCCGCCCGCCCGCAGCTGTGCAACAGGCGCACGAGCTGGCTGTGCTCGGCCTGGGCGCGGGTGCGCAGCACGCGGCCGCCGGGCCGACGGCGATGCCTGCCGCCGCCGCCGCCGCCGCCGCCGCCGCCGCCGCCGGGCTCCTCGCGCTCGCTGCCGCTGCTGCCCGCCGCTCCATTCTGCTGCCGCTCCTCCTCCTCCTCCTCCTCCTCCTCTCCCTCCTCGCCCTCTCCCCAGGCGGCCGCCGCCTTGGCAGCAAGCGCGGCATCCGCGGCGGGGTCTGCCGCGCCCTCCGCCGCCGCCGCCTCGAAATCAAACACCGGGTTGCGCCCCGCGTCCGCGCCCGCCAGGGTGGGCAGGAAGAAAGGAGCCGCCGCCGGCTTCTTGGGGGGCTCGATGGGTTTGTTGCGGGCCTGCAGACAGCAGCAGCACGGCGGCAGGCGCCGGGCAGGGGTGAGTCTAGGAGACTGCGCAAAGGCTGCGCCGAGGCTGCTTCCTGCTGGCACCAGGCCTGAGGGCCGCCAGCCAGCGTGCCCCACCCCCCTCCCCCCTGCCCCGCCCCGCCCCACCTTGATTATGTCCAGGTGCACCAGGCTCTGCCACTGCGTGCGCGGCAGCATGCTCAGCGTGACAAGCTGAGGCTGCAGCGCCTGCGGCGCCCCCGCCGCGTCCCGCGCCACATATGCCGCCGCCGCCGCCGCCTGCACGGGGTCTAGGAGGGCGGGGGCCGCGGCCGCGGCCGCCGCGCGCTGCCGCTGCCGCCGCCGCGCCTCCTGCTGCGCCTGCTCGCCCTCATCCGAGCTCGCGTCTGATGAGGAGCCTGGCTCAGAGTCGTCGTCTGCTGGCTGCTGCTGCTGCTGCCGCTGCTGCCGCCGCTGCTGCTCGTCCTCTGATTCCGAGCCGCTGCCGCCGCCAGCCACTACGCCTGCTGCCGCCGCACCGCGCGTCTGCCGCAGCATGGCATCCATCTCGCTGACGGCGGCCGCCGGCTGCGCGTCGGCACCCGCCTCGCCGGCGCCGGCGCCGCCGCTGGCGAGGCTGGGCAGGCGCACGCGCACGGGCTCCTCCGAAGGGATGATGTCGGCGCCGCTGCCAAACAGCATCTGCGCCAATGCGCCGGGCACGGGGAGGCATGAGCGCTGGTAAAAAGCCAGCCGGGCGAGCCCCACGCTCAAACTCCCAAGCTGCCCCTGCCTGCGCATTCCTCGCGCCGACGCACACCCAGGGGCAACCATCCCATCCCATCCCATCCCATCCCATCCCATCCCATCCCATCCCATCCCAGGCCAGCCCAGCCCAGCCCAGCCCAGCCCATCCCGGCCCATCCCATCCCATCCCATCCCAGCACCCCACCTGGTTGGCCCAGAGGTAGATGCCGCGCTTGCCCACGTGGCAGGTGGCCAGCAGGTCCTGGGCGGGGCCCAGGCTGAGGCTGGTGACGGGAGAGCCCAGGCGCATGACCTGCAGCACGCGCGATC